GTCAAAGCCATGCTTCCCCATTTGAAGTAAAAAAAAAAGTTTGTTGCTTTCACTCCCCTGAATTTTTGGGGTGCAATTGCTTCAACCGACGGCGAACAGGGTGATAGCAAAATCATTGAAAGTGATATGAAGTGCACATCATTGTGCAACTGACTTGTTCTTACTTTCATAACATATGATTTTTGGAATTTTTAAGATACAAGCTAGATAAGTAAAAGTTTTCAATGGCCACTCTTTTCTTTCCTAAAATGACTAAAACCCTTGAACGCCCCTCCACTTAAAATCAAGAGCAACGGAATCTTATCGTAATAATTGCGGCTGATGTTAGTAATTCTAGCAAATGATGATAATGTTGGATACAGTCTGGAAATAAAGACTATAGATCGTAAAGCCGATCGCTGAAAATATTAGGTTGATTCATAATTAATGCACGTTTTTCTCACCTCTTTTTCCAAGAGCTGGTATTTGATTTGTAATCAATTTCCTCAAAAACTTTTCATGCTATCTTAAAGGGCGTTTTTTCTAGTTTCTTATTTGGGCTTCGCTTTCGTACATCTCCGTTCATTCTGAAGTTCTGAGCCTTCAAATAAAAGAGACTGAATCCCAAAATTTTTGCTTTTCACTCTTTTTGCCCTAAATCCATGAGGAATAGCCATATTAATTTCAAAATATATATATAAGGATTAGAAAACTTTGTGCTACAAGATGCTATTCGAAAAAAATTCTCCATGAATTCTGCGCCAAGAAATTCAATTGCAAACTTAAATGATCGTCGCGACCCTTCCTTGCTATATGAAACTTTGAAGCAAAAGGCGATTGCAGGTCTTTTGCGCTATCCAGCAAGGGTAGACCTAGTTCATTTGGTAATAGGAAAGCGCTAGGATTTTCTCACTTTTCAGCGGAGATAAGTGAAATAATTTCAAAAATAACCGATTTTTGAGCCGGCCGAGACGCCAGAAAAAAGTGAGTACTTTCGAAATTTTCGCGATATTTTCTTTCAAAAAATTTCTGTAAAATCCAAGTTTGGCATCACTGCTCCAGAGATCCTTGGCTACACAATGAGCGAAGTCTGCTTTATCCTACTTCATTTCAACATAAGTTATGCTTTCTCAAAGTAGAGGCTTCCGAAAAAAGTTGTTGGCAATTTTTAGGCTAGAAAATCTTCCTTATGATAGATACAGCCACGCAAAAGCATCTATTTTATAGCCACTGACATGCTGGTTACAGTAGTTTTTATTGCGCCCAGAAATGCCTTTTCAAAAAAGAATTATCTTGGTTGAAAGATGAAATATAGAAAACGTGCATTAATTATGAATCAACCTAATATTATCAAATCAAGAAGCACGAAAAACGCATTTACACCAACTGAGCTGAAAAATTAGTTAGAACATGCTGAAAAATCCAGTGAGTTCTTAAAAAGACTCAGGCTAGCGAATGCAATGTGACCAGGGATACTGAGGCTTTGCAAAAATGATCTCCGGTTTTTTTACGCTTTCGAAACATTTTGCTGCTGACTGACATTTCATTAGCCTGCACATCTACGATGGAAGGTTAGGCAAATAGGAATCCACTATAAAGAAATTTAAGACTCGAACAAAGTCCACAAACACCGACTCTGATTAATGTTTCTAACGTCAATGTCAGTGTTTTCCTAGGAATTTTTAGTTGCTAATCGGCTTTCAAAAAGTTAGTTCTTTTCACCTTTCAGATAAAGCTGATTATACAAATGTCATAGACGGTGCAATGACATTAATTCGCAAATCTCATTCTCCAAAAACAATTGCCACCTTTACGATAAGCAACACTTACTCATACAAAAGTTACAAAGTTTATTATATGAAACAAGCGCCACACGAAACAATTGAAAGTGAATGAAAGTTTTTCTAGTACAAAGAAACTTCTAGAAGCGTGCTACCAATGAAATCCTTTACATACGTTGCAGCAAGCACGCTAGGATATTACGAGACAGCTCATAATCAGCTACAAGCGGCTTATGAATGCCGTAAAGCTGTAAAAGCTGCTCCTAGAAAGTTGTAGGAACCTGAGTGACCTACTTAATCATTAAGACATTAGGTGCAGGGCTTAATAACTGCAGTATTGGGTGCACCAGCATCTCCGCTCCCGCGCGGGCGCCCTGGACTCTGGACCTCTTTCACGAATTGACTGGAAATGAATAAAGAACATGTTTGCGGGAGAGACGCAGAGTCCAAAGTGGGAGTGGAGATGCTGATGCACCCGGCACTGCAGTTGATACGCTCTGTAACTGTCTTACACAGTATGGCCTATTGGTCACAATAGAGAATAGATTTAGTGGCAAATTTTGAAACCGCAGGCGGGTAGATTGCCTCTTTGGGAATAAACAGAAATAAATTTATACACTGGCCAGTCCATCATCAAGTACAGAATCAACAATAAGAAGTAGTATAAGCGACGACAAATTTTGCACAACTTTTTGAAGTCAGTGGATCGGTGGAATGGACCCCTGTTAGATTTGGTAGTGTTAAATACTATCTCTCAAGTACACCGTAGCCCCACCCCCGCCCTCCAAATCATGCGCTGAGTCCTGAAAAGGAGCTTTAAAACTCCACTAGCCCCGCCGACTTAGGGGGTATACTATCCGGAACTGCCAAAATCTGACAGGGCCCATTCTGCCGATCCACTGCCTTTGAGCGCTAGCTTCGATTATTCGCGTCAACCATTGCTTTTGGTCTAATAAGGGGGTGATGAGAACAAAAGTGTAGACTTGCCTGACAAAACTGTCACAAATGCAAATTGGGAAATGCCGCGGCCATCAGTGAACCGCATTGCCGTCAATGGATTGAAGTACACGATTCAAAGGTGGTCCACCAATCTGCGAGGCTGGTGAGAATTCGATGTAGTACAGTAGCGAGGCCCGTAACTATAGAGGCCCAAATTCCAGTGCAAAAAGTGAACAGGAGCTCAAAATTATTTACTACTGTTTGATTGTGAATAACTCTCTGTCCATCTAATCTTTAGCGAGCCTATGGATATCGTTCGGTAATGCTGGCTTCAACTTGAATTTACAGAACGATTGAATCGTCTGTCGCGCTTCATTATTGTAGATTACGGTAGAAACACTGAAGAAGACTTTGAGCTATGTAGGAACATATCTCGCCTCAGAAAAAAACGAAACGACCTTGAAATTCTCACACTAGACTAATTAGAGTTGGTGCTTCCAAATATGAGCTATTTTATCATAATGTTTCGTTAAAAAGTTATGCAAGGCAAGCGGTAACAGCGTATTTTCGATGGTTCTCAAAAATGTGGTTACACCGTTTAGAAAGCTTCACAACTTGTAGTTGACTATTAAATTCAGTGTCCATGAACATCCTATGTTTTTTTTCTGAATATTACCAAAACTGCAGTTTTTCACAGTGACGCTACATATCGGAAGTTCCAACTGTAATTTTGCAATAATGAAGAGTGATCGGTGATTCGCTCCATACTTAAATCTAAGCTGAAGCCAGCTCTACAGAATGATACCTGAAGGTAGGCAAAAGACTTTTCGGGAAGAGAATCGATGACTATCTTCTAGTGGGTACATTTGGGACACTCCGTATTTCGAAGCGAGAATTTCTATCCAAACGTGCGCTGTTGGGGTCGCCACGCCCACCACCACGGGTGGCCTGAAGATAGTGAGCCCAAAAAGCAGAAGTAAACCTGGGAATGACGAAATTAGACCTTTCACTGCGAGGAAAGCATTTTCGACATTTCCAAGTATCACGGAGTCCAGTTTCAAGCTAATACTTTAGACAAGTAATCGCCTCTTAGGTTGATGCGCGTGGGAAACCCAGGAGCATCCCTTCTAGAGCAATCCTCTCACTTCGGGATACACTTTTTGTAGCCGGACTTGGGCATTTACTTGGTTGGGGGCCCCGCTTTTTGCACTGCGTCATATTCTCAGCAGTCTTAAATGTGAACGAACAGTACGAAAAATATTGCGTGCCCGGCCAAACCCAATGCCCAGGAACGAAAAATAAGAAGACTACACCTCAGCCAAGATTTCATTTCATTTGAAACTAAATAAAGGATTTACGATCCAACAGACAATGGATAAAGGCTCCCATTGTCAGATCTGAATCCTATATCAGCGAACGTGAGCAGCTAGAAAAGCAGAATAAAAATAAAAAATATCACTATGTAACTTTATATGGAACAAATTTCAAAAATTCTTCAAGGACCCGCAAAAGTAACTTTTGATTCAACTGGCTTGGCTTCGGGGAGGCGGGGCCTTGACCTAATTGACGCCGCTCGCGCCCGCAACGCACCTGCGTCTCTTTCGCACAAGTGCTCTCTAATCATTACCTAGCCTAGCCTTAATTAGGTCACGAAGCCCCACCTTCCCGAAGCCAAGCCAGTTGAATCAAATGGTAGGACAGAAGCAACATAAGATGACCCACCTTCAGCAGGCCCTGTGTAGATGAAATGTTGAAAATTTTGGAAAAAATCTACGAAAGATAATCATGACTTTGTTTGGCTAGAACCAAGTCCGGTAACGCTAGAGCTTTTACAATACCTCCGGCTTTATTACTCCTGTTTATGAAATCTCTTCGAACGTTCGTAACTTTCTTTCAATTCGCGAACCAGATGATTTATTCTTCGCGATTCACCTTACAGAGCATTTCTATTGAAATACCTCATTGGACATGACACAAAAGAAAGACTGACATGGATGATTTCTGATTTACAATTTATTGCAGAATAAAAAGAATTTATACATTACTGAAGACATAAAATACCCGTTCCAAACGGACTAAGCCATCAACAGAACTTACAACCTGATTAAATTGATAAGTGCAAAAAAACACTTGCTATAACACATTTCAAAAAAGGGAAGGAGCACTGTAAAAAAAGCACATTATGAAGGCCTTGAAGAACGAAACGACTCATCCTATGGAAGACATCGCGAATCTACTGCGATTCTACTACATGATCAGATGGAGCTAAAAGGTTAATTTACAAACTTTACATCTACTCATGGTATCGTTGGAAAAATAGCTTATTTATATGTCTTTGACAAGTCCTAATGGAGGTTTGGGCAATTGGGCTTCAACGTCTAGAAATTGCTTCATTGTATCGACCTGGAACAATAAAAAATTAATATGTTAGAAACCAAGTTGTTTGATTTTTGCAGTTTTATGGCGTATTTCACCTTCAACCCGTACTTATAAACACCTCCAATTCGTTATGATAAACTGCATGGATCGACACTGCCTATCGCAACCTTAAGCTTACCACCACCCAACAATGTTTTTATTTTTGGTTGTCAGTTCAGCGAAAATGGTAACACACATGAATGACTTGCAGAACTCATCTACACTGATTTACCTGATCTTTGGCCTATTTGGCCTATTTCTGAGAATATGTTCAGTAATTTTCAAAAGGGAAGAAACAAGCAAATGAGTGCGATAAGATGCCGAATACAAAAACTACAGGCCCTACTCGACCGGCTTGTTTCGAAAGAATGTTAAAGTCCAGTCATCAGAGGAGATAAAGCGGGACTATTGCAAACAAAAAGTCAGAACTAGTAGTGAATCTTATTAATCTAAATAAAAAATATCAATATAACAGAAGTGGAATGACTAGGGAAATTATTGAAAACAAATACATAAATTGCATCTCGCTCCGATTGCTAAATTTTCAAATAAAAACTGAAAAGAAGGCTCAAACAAAGGAAATTAATCAGGGCTTACCTTATCTTTGAACCGGTTCAACGTAAACGTCACTCTGCTCTTGTGTATCAAATATGAAAACACAACGAATACGATGACAACAGGTACTAGAAAAAACTCTTATTGAACAACAAAATGGAAAATGACGGAAAGCAAGAACAACTCACTGAGCATTGCTGTTGTGATATAACCAGCCATCTCGTATTCGACTGATATAAATTTGACAAAAAATATTATGCCAATTTCGACAAGGAAAAGAATTAATCCGATACATGTAGAGAAGATCCATGACAGGTCGATGTAAAATCTGAAAACAATCTTGCTAGGAAATCTTCGAACCATGAAAACATATGACGTACAATGATAACTAATTACGAATTTTTCCTATGACGAGTTTGAAAAATATTTATGCAAAGCAATTTTGTACTGAGCAAGCCATAAACTTCTTTAAGATGTAGACTTCCACATATTTTAAATTAAAAACAAAACTGACTTCAATCGAATATGAGGTGAATCCTGTGTACAACCAGTAGCTTCCATATATGGCAGTATACAAGTTGACATCATCAATGCCAACAAGTGGACAGAAACCAATAGGGTGGTTACTACGCCTAGGATGATCAGCAGGAAATGAGGAGTAGTTGGATCGTACTGCAGCTCCACAAGTGCGACCTGAAAAAGTATAAGCAGCTTACACAATCAAAAAAGATTTGAAAAAATAATAAATTGGAAAAATCCCTCTCTCTGAAACGACACGTTCTCAGAAAAGAAGTCTAATTTCCAAATTAGTTGTTAGCGGTGTAAATTGATTTGAGCATATTGCTTCACTATACTAACTGTCTGAGAAATTAGCCTTTGCACAATAAAGGCATTTGATGTAAAACATGAGCTGATCGAAAATTACGGTCAATATTGCAAAAACAAGAGCACACTTAACGAAAACCACTTCTGATTTCACTGTGGTTGGGCTAATTACAATAAAATGATTTAAAAATTTGATCAAAAAATGCATTTTTGCCCAAGATTTTCTCCCAAAAAACAAAACAGTTCCCTAAAAATCTAGAAGTCAAACAATATTGCACACTATGATAGTCTCAAGCACTTTCATTGATCCCACACTACTCTTCAGATAAAATTCGACCTCTGCTTCCAAAACTGGCGAGTTTAGCATGCTCAATTCTGCGCTTCAAAAAAAACCGATATATATATATATATATATAACAAAAATGGAAAGTAACCTATCCTTGAGGACAAAAGTATATTCGCTACAGATTGAACAATACAACCTTCATTTGTTAGAAACAGACAAGCAAAGTCGTGACTCACCATTGCAAAACCAGCTAACAAAGCCGATGTCCTACTGCTGGCTTTCAGTTGTGCTTTGCTCAGATCGTAATTGTACTTTTCCGACATGTCCAACTCTCCTCGATGCCTGAATCAACTACGTCAGCAGCGAAGGGAAAGTCGGGTGTTAGGGTTTGGTGTGAAGCTGCCTTGTAGAATCAACAAATGCCAAACTCTGATTCAGCGTACAGCTATCAGCGCCGTGTAATCAGCTGCTGTTGCTGAATTCCGCACTATTTTACCATATTCTTTGTCTTTCATATTTTACCATATCATTCCATATTCAATCCACTCGATTTTTTTTTCAAATACTCGAAAAAACAGGGATGATGTAAAAGTCGACTGTTGTTCACTGACCCCAGATCATGTTCAGGTTCAGCTTTTCCTCGAGGGCCTGGGCTCGACGCCCTCGAAGATTTCGATGATCCCTTGTTCATGCTGCCTGGCACCTCCAAAAAGAATTGCGGTACGGGCCATGGAATTGCCGTACTTGTGCCGTTTCCCTGCCAGTTTGCCATTGACTGGATGTCATCGACCGAAATCGAACATCGCGGTGCAAATGACGGTTTAACCATGTTTTTCAGCAAAGCCGTTCGTGAAGGGTCGAAGGAACGGGGCATCTGTGATGTTCGAAAGGTAATGAAGAAGTAGACGACATACTAGGAGGTTGAAAATAACAAGGGGGGATACATTTGTGCAATCATAGTATTCAGGCAAACTTAGGTTTCTTGCGTGGAAATTAGGTCGGAAAGCTTTGACTATCCCACTGCCTAAAAGCTAATTCATATCATTCGCGGTCAAGATACGCTTTGGTTCAACTGACTTGCTGGCTGTAAGGACCTAATTTTGGCTAGGTAATGATCAGAGAGTACGTCCCGGGAGAGATCCAGACCGCGTGGCGGGCGCGAGAGGCTTTAATTAGGTCACAAACCCCCTCCTTCCAGCCGCCAAGCCAGTTCAATCAAAGGTTACTAACCTTGAACCCCCACCCAGACCGTACCTACCGTACTCAAAGACGCATTGGTCCCATTAAAAAGAAGCGTCTGTGACTTTAATGAGCTCAGCTTCGGATAGATTGAAAATGATAGGAACATAGGAGCTGGCGCGCTCTATGACTCGGCGCAAGGAACTTTTATTTTCCACTCAAGAAAGACCTGTAATTTGCCTGAACATGCCTTCAAAAATTGACTGAGCTTTCTGAGCATTGGCTGAAGTAGTAAGAGGTACATAGTCCGCTGAACGGAAAGGAAATAAGAAGTAACTCTAAAGTAACTCGAAGGATGCAACATAGAATTTGTCGCCCAGGTTGTCATGATTGCAAAAAGATGTCCTTGTTTGCCAAAAAGATCATTAAAAGTACAATCGCGCGTAATCTATGGACATTTTATGGAGATAAGCAGATAAGAATACTCAGAGTAGTTTAAGTCGACGTTTCAACTGTCACAAAAAGACTTGCAAACATGACATTGCACATTTGAAATCACTAAAGCTTCACTTCAATAGCGAACGAAGAGATGGGAAACGCCGAATGCATTGATTTTTATAGAAGCCATCGCATAGAAACTATAAATTACAGAGATAAATTTTCTTTTTGAATGGCTATACGCTACCAAAAAAGGACCTATTAACTAACAGGAACACATGATAAGATAATTGAGCGGAACTAATCTTATCAGTAATGCACAAAGTTCTCCCGCAAAAAAATCAAAAATAGCATTACCAGATAAAATATGAGTTTGTCAGTCAGATAAGGCACGTTTTAGGATGCAGTGATATTCGGAACATAATTCAAGTGCTTCACGGATGGTTTCTGAGAATATGAAGTAGTAATGGCCAGACTTTTCAGCCCGGGTCTTTTCACCTAAAATACTGCTAAGAAGCCCATGAGTGGATGCTGACTTCAAAAATTATTTCTAAACTTATGTAAAACGAGTATCTCAACAAAATTTATTATATGTTGTTAAATTTTTTCGGAACTCCCACCACCACCCCCACCTCCCCTTCCCACACTTCGCTTTTATGACCGATTTAATGGTGTAACAAAATTTTGCCGTCCCGATAGCAATTTAAGATGGAGTATTTTTATGCCTCCTTAACTTAGACTTCAAGTGCATAGAAATTGTTGCAAAATTAACTAGTGAAGAGTTTTACAGCATCCAGCCGTCATTAACGAACCCCACCCAGGGTAAACTAGTTCCGCTGCAACTTTGTTCACTAGCCGTAAATTGCACTTTGTGATCAGCAAAGAATCACCCTCTCAGCACTATTCTCACTATCAACGGAACTTGCAAAGCTACAGAATCCTCAGGAAAAGCATCGCTTTCCTTTCAAAATAGAGGAGTGAGAAACAGCTACTTCAAGCACAATCGCTTGAACTTCCTACAATTCAAAAATTACTCCTACAATTTTTACTGCAAAATTATCCGAAAAACATTCGAGGAAAGAAAAGCAAACAATGTTATCACAATTCTGAAGCGATAAGAGCAGGATGTATTGACGCTGATGCGATGCGCTATAAGGCAAAAAGCATTAGAAATGACGATGTGCTGCGATATCAACGATTTTGCGTATATCAATTAAGAAAGAATCATTCAAAACTTTCGGAAAAGAGCATAACAATCTGAAAACGCTTTACGGCAGACTCCAGTCAAAATTCATCCAACAAGAAAGTTCCATCCTTAGTTTGCTGAGAAAAAAAAACTAATTTATGATTCAATTCTCCTTAAACGGCTAGGAATCCGGTTCTAAGGAAGTTGCAAAAAAAAATGCCTAAGTAAAGACCGAAATATAGACTGTTCGAAAAAACGCCTACATAAAATTGTTCCGACACAATTTCTGATGTCGACTGTGAATGTATAATAACTTCATATAAAGAGCTGTCAGTTACAGAGACATTCGCAGAATGGATATGATGTTTCATGACGCTTTTTCTAATGTGAGTTTCCAGCGAGACAATTAGAAATGCAGCTGGATACGAGCAAACTCAGAAAATTATATTGTGCGTTGATTGCCTTAAAAGATTAGATTTGAAAGCAAAAAGATGAGAACAGTCATAACTTTTAAAGTATTTGTGACGAAAGAAGTGTTCAAAACAAAGACAATCACAGAACCTGATCTTGAAATACAAAAATTATGATGAATATCATGATTTTTCAAATATACCAATACATTCATCACACTAGTCAGGTTTAATATTCAACATTAAACGGAGAGTTTTTCCCACATGAAAAATCATCACTAATTGGTAAACTTATTGAAAGAGAAAATAAATCAAACCTTTTGGAGATTTAAAAGGCTATGAAACTTTGAGAAACTTTTAGATCAGCGTCAAGATAGACGATGATGATACGTCATGACGATACCTCCATAACTGCACAACTCATCGTCAGTCAATTCGTCCAAGTTTTCCGCAACTTCACCTTTCAAAACCTGACACAAGCACAGGGATTTTACTGTGGTGCAAGAGATTCTGATTATGCTACCAAAAGAAATACTCTATGCTGCTAGGCCCATACTAGAATTAAATGTTCGCAAACGCTTGGAAACTTAGTGTATCGCAGAACTTTTCACATCTTTGTGAACAAAAATTCGCACCACAAAAATGTTTCCCCAAAATAGAATCAAAACTGATCAATGACGATTCATTAGTAAACTTTTTGTTCATACAACCCTACGTAGTCAAGGACAGTGAGTCAGATCAAGGGAGAATAACAAAGATTCTAAGAGGATACTGATGTGATTTTGAACTGTTCCATAGTGAAGAAACAGGATCTGCAAAAAAATCGATAAAAAAAGGATGCAAGGGGTGCATCGGAGACGTGGAGAAGAAAGGACATAAGTCTTTGCCAGCTTCGTGGCACAGTTTTGGCTGAATACAATACGGTGTGGGACTCATGCACTACTGATAACAATTAACGACCCATTAAACAAGGATGGTGCAAAGAAATGCCGACAACCTAGCATTGAACTTTGAACAACTGCGTCTGCCGCCGCTTCAGGATAAACCGAGCAAGAAAACATGTAATTTTCCTGACACTTTGCCAAGAAGTTTGTTCCTTTATGTTCGATTTCAAAGACAAATACTAGGCAGCTTCACGCAAACTCTCGGTTTCAACACATGAAGTATAATTTCGTATTCAAAAACTCACTCCTTGCTGAAAGTTTGTAGTATCGGCGAGAAGGACGGTTGTACAGGAGGCACCACCATTGGTGGTGTTTGTGATAGAGAAAATTGAACCCTGAAAAAATCGAACAATTAGGATGACCAGTTCCACAAAAGATATAATATTTGAAAAAATCAATAAAAATGCCCTAGCAGATTATCTCAACTAGTGATAAGTGCGCCACTTGCAATTTACATTATTTCCATATGTTTCAAATTACATTTCTTTGCTATGGTTTGCATCTGTTCCTTTGCATTTGGTAACTAAAATGAGATCCGGTAGAAGAAAGCGAGTAATCAAAAGATTTCAAGAGTTCTGACCCACTATAATTACATCACACAAAACCCTATTTTGTTTCGGAAAATATTCGTTTATGAACATGATATCATGTTGATCCTACCGAGCTGCTCGGAATAACGCAATTTCTCATAATTCAAGAAAGAAAATAAAGTCAACGGAGCATGGAAAGTACAATCACTACATTCACACCATCCATAGCGATCCCATGAGCGCGCCTGGACGAGCAAAAAGGGTATGCGCTCACTATGTCCACGCATCGTCAATCCGATGGTATCAAAACGGAGGCAAAAGATGTTATCTCCTTCGAAAAGTTTTCGCATTCTACATTGAGAAAGAAAAGAAATACGGGTTCAGATTGATGCTGTATTTCCTGACAACGCAAGAAAATTAGCTGGTTCGAGCTTCCTAATGTCCAGCTGGATGTGTTTCAAACAGCTTAGGCAAAAAAAAACGACTGATAAAAAAGACCTCCAAGAATTAAAGGAGTTCAATCGCGTAACACGTTTGTTTTCTTTCTTTGAGGAAATGGCAAAAGTTTTAAAATAAGAGAATATTTCATTCCAAAGAAAGCGCCACTTCTAGTCACCCCTATCAAGATAAAGCTGGATAATGTCTTCTAACGACCTCGCTATTCAGAAGACAATTCTGTTTCACAAAGTTTTGGCAACCTTGAACAGCAAACCCACATAAAAAAGACCCTCGTCAAAGATAAAAACAACAATTGTCGCGACAACTACATGGCAAAGGCAAGATTGCGAGAGAAGATAATTATTGAGAAGTAAGGAAAACCGGTCGGAACTAAGCGAAACCTCAACTATCAACAAAAGTCTGCGACATAGGTTCTAACAAGGAAGAACAACTGCAAAGGACCTATCGTTGAATACAAAAATTACCATCCACAAAACACCATATGTAAATCTCCTCTTTTTTCGCGCAAAAAGGCATGTCAAACCATTTGCACACGTATTCATTACGGTTCCAAAACTCCAGTAAAGAAATATGCTAAGAAGTAAACTACTCATGTAAAAAAATAAAACTCAAATGTCATGGACGATTTATGTTTCTATCTTGAAACTCCATTGACGGAATTCCCAGAATAAAATCGTGGAACATTGAAAAAACACCGTCTTCGGTCATAAATATCACTATATTGTGATATTTACGGAGCATTAAAGAATCAAAAAAAATTGACCAAACATTCTAAGAGCGACTTCGGTGAAAAGCGTTCTAAGAGAGAATAAATTCTATGTTCTATGCAATAATTGAAAAGTTCATGTGAGATGTTCGCACGCAAAAAAAAAATTTTTTTTTGAATGTGGCATGCAATAAGTCTGCTATTTAAATAGTTTTACTATGCCAAAGCACGACAAAACTCTTTCCACATGAGCCCACCCACATAGAAGAAAACCTACCAATCTTTAGCCAAACGAGCAGTACGTGTTCTCCAACGAAAGCTCATTGTAGATTTAGCTCAACGTCAGGGTTGGCCCTGATTCGCGAGCTTAACGGAGAACAGAATGAACGCCCACAAATATTTTCATAAAATAAATGGTGATATATCTGGCTTTCATTGTTGAAGGTCAGGGATCGATTGGCTATTGTGCTTCGCACACTTTTTACAATGGCGATATCAATATTTTTTCAATTCGACAGTGGACAGTGTGGAAGCCATAATTTGCAAATTATCGAAATAATTCACAGCTGACCTGGTAGCATCTGTCAGGGATGTTAATGAAGCACCAGCACCCAGAGCATTTGTTGCAAGTGGTGATCCTAAAATAGAAAAAAGTAGTGAGAGAATTATAGTGTTTCAGAGCATATACATTATACCCAGGAAACGTTTCTGATTTTCCCACCAGAAACTATTACGCTTGCAATTTACTTCCATTACTTACAAACTTGTAAGCGTGACGGTAAAAATTGCAGTGAACCATTTCATTGAAAAAAAAGCGCTTTGGACGGCTCTCCTTCGTCAATTGATAGGAACACTTCAAATTATTCATTGAAGATGTTCATAGAACCCACAATTTCTACTTTGCACAAATTTGGGAAAGATGACGAATAACAGACACGAGTGCGCAAAACATTTTCTGATGTCATTTACCCAGCCTTAAATCTATATGAGAAGAGATTTTCAAGGTTTCCCAGAAGAAAGATAGGAGGAAGTTGACAATTCATTGCATGAAGCTATCAAAAAAACGAATTCTAAGTCCGAATGCCTGATTTGGCCACAATCAAAATTATTTAAAGCAAATTAAGTGGGCCGCCCGCCTCCTCACCACACCGCTATGTACGAATGAAAAAACGAAGTACACAGCCTCCCACACAATAGTAGGAAAGCTCAGCCAAACCCGTTTATGTGGACTCTAATCGTGCTCTAATCGTGATAGAAATTGTGAGTGATGTATAGATACATACTGCATCAGGGCCCGGCACCGATGAATTGGGGTCAAACTGGACTTCGTTTTTGGAGTTAGAAGCAACGGGGACATCGTTTTTATGAGGTCCTGGAGGAAGCGCCAAAAAAAAAAAACACGACGAACACGTCAGGTTTCACGAGTTGAACAAGTTCTTTCGCAAGCGCGCGATTTTCAAATGCAAGACTCAAACAAACAAATGGCTTGTTTACAGCGCACAAACAATCACATGGCTCCGAATTTGGGCTATGTGTATACAATATTACTCCAAACTATATTATGTAAAAAGTTCCCAAAACTTATGTGCCCTAATATCCGTTCTCGAATCTGTTGATTTCTAGACCACCTACCAAACCAACTGGTTCGGAGCATAAATATCGGAGAGTTCACATAAGTTTTGGACCTTTTTGATTTGGACGACTAGAACGGTCAAAAATCTAACATATAGTGAAGAGAGCGGATCAAACCGTTGCCTCTCCCCTTTTTTTGAGTCAAAAGTAGTATAATTCTATGCGTTGATAGATATCGCGCTCCAATCACTTGCGGTGTCCTTTGAAATATGTGGCGAAAAATGCGTCGCAGGATTGTTGAGGCTACAGATTTGGTTGGCCTAGGAGATTTTCGACATTCCCAGCATCAAAATGGTACTATAGATGGCAGAGCCTTTAATAGACTCGAAATGTTTTCTTTTTGCTTTTTTGTTATATAACATTCCTCAAAGTGCGCTTTTTTCGCTTTTTTGTTGCTATTTTAAATGAATAAGGATCCCCTACTGATTTTCACGTCGAGAGGGACTTCGTAAATTTTCGCGAAGTCATGGGGGACTTCGTTTCCTGAAAACCTCCAAACCAACACGTGCCGGGCCCTGTACTGCATACTGCCCTCTACATTCCAGCAGAAATTTCCCGCAGTATCATTTTGTTTCATTCAGTAATTTGTTGTGTGCGTAATGCTGATCAAAGAATAATTAGAAAAATGTCAGAAAAAGAAGATCTGTGATGCTGCGATCGAACGCAGCCGCAAGTGGAACATCCAAAAAGGCCAAAAAGCCAAAGTTTTCGGACGCCGATAATGGAGATGAATGGAACGAGAAGTTTTGCGCGAGTGTTCTTTGTAACGATGAGTTCATTGGGCAGTCATTTGTACTTAATCAAAACGATGTTTGCAGAGCTGATCTCCTTTTGACGAGCGATAGATAGACTGTTGTATAGACCTCGGCACGATACCCAGTTGACATCGTGCGTCAAAAATGCGTACTTGATGTAAATACAGTGTACACTACTTACCTCAACCTGTAATTAATATTTTTTCAACATGTACTTCCTCCCCATCTCCCTGGAGTTGGAAAAATGACTGAAGAAAGTATTGGTAAAACTGATTGATTCTAAATATCACTACTCGTACTGAAATCTTATATCATGGGGGTTATTTATCATGCTGATTCCAAAAATGGTACTCATTTTGCTTGAGAGCCGTTCACCGATTCCCCATAGCTAAGTCTGGAGTTATTTGATGTGCCAAGTGGAAGTGCAGGTCAGAGGTAAGGAGGCTGTCTCTCCAGATTACTCACGTGATTACCGATGTTTCCAGATTGCCTATTCCAATTACTTTTATCACTTCTGACATTCATTGGGCTTTCGATGCTATCGTAGGTTCGAGCGCGTAAGGCCCCGGTCAGACTTCACGCGACTTAATCGTCGCGATCTAATCGTCAAGATTTCCATTCATTTTCATTTCACATTCAAAAATTTCGGGCTGGAAAAGTATCACAACCGAATGCAAGTTGATCGGCATGGAATGATGTTGTAACAGTTGTCTCGTCGCGACCGAGTCGCGACGATCAAATCGGGTGAAGTCTGCCCGGGCCTAGGAGGTAATGTATGATGTTTGGTAAATTTTTTTCAAACTAATCTATCAAATCGAAGGTATTTTTATGACCTGGAAACTCGGAAGAGCAAGTTCTACCATTGTTTAGACATTATGTGCACAGCAGTCTCGAGTCTCCCATTCATAGAATAGATGATATGCGAAATGAGTATCATCTTTTAACTTGTGCAAAACAAACTAAACAGAATCTGAGCGATTCTGTTCAGTAACGGGCAGCTGCTGCAGCTAAAATAAACGACTAACGAGCAAAATGAGTACCATTTTCGGAATCAGCATGATAAATAACCCCCATGATTTAAGATTTCAGTACGAGTAGTGATATTTAAAATCAATCAGTTTTACCAATACTTTCTTCAGTCATTTTCCCAACTCCAGAGAGAGGGGAGGAAGTACAAGTTGAAAAAATATTAATTACAGGTTGAGGTAAGTAGTGTACACTGTATTTACATCAAGTACGCATTTTTGACGCACGATGTCAATTGGGTATCGTGTCGAGGTCTATACGACAGTGATAGATAGAAAGCGACCGTTCGACGACTTTGCAAGGCCCCGTTAAAAGGACAGATTAACGAAAGTACTTTGGAAAGTGGATGAGGTGTTCAGATAGTAAACATCATGATGTTCAAAAACCTTTGATTTGAGAACATTCAGACAAAATGAGCAAAGTATACCATTGGCAAACTGCAATATTCTAGAGAATTCTAGATATTGCAGATACCTATAGACATTGAATGTGACATTCTATTCAATATTCATGAAGCAATGTTGGCACAAAAGTAGCCTGCACCAATACAACAAAACGATGCCGGTTTTCAAATTCTAACAGTTCTTGGCTAAAACACGGCAATGGCAGAGAAAGTATGATTTTGTGCTGAACCCAGGAACTTCTCGAAGACGAAAATCAGGGTGAATCCAGTTCCAGAAATTTTGTAGAAGAGACGCACCAAGAATGGTACACCACCGGTCTAGCTTTAAACCGCGAAAGCAGTTGATCATCTATGTATGAATTGCACTGGGATTAATTTTACTGTGGGTGTACTGTAGCATACTGTACTGTCACCAACCCTTCCTCTTCCCTTTTAGAGTTTTTCTTGGCAGAATACCTCTACTGGATACTAGCTAGGCCATTTTCCCACGACTGCAGACAATCGATCTATTTTCTCATGTTCCACTACCTTAAGAATTGTTTTTGTTGCTATAGCTCGACTCCAGCTGTGAAACCCATTAATCACTAGGGAATCCGACAGACCACAGACAGGAAAAAAATAGTGCCGTCTGTTTCGGATTAAATGTAATGCACGACATCTAGAGAAATTAGTAGCCTATGGCTGGTTGATATGATATGTGCAATTGCACAGCAGCGTACAGGCGTGAAAAACCAAAAATTTTATTTAGGCGTGAATCTGCTGGTAAGTGTTTCCATAACGCCTTCTCATGATTATATGCTGAAAGGAAACGGTGGCAGAAGACGTGCAACCTTTAATCCAAAAAAAAGTTTATTCGCGCGTGGGATGTGCAGTAATGAGTAAACTGATGTTAAATAATACCAGACAGCAAAAAATGTCGGAGATGTTGAGGAAAACTATGGTTTTGCGATTCAATGAGATCTTTATTGTAATCACTGCTAAATAGTTTGCAGCTGTAAGAGAGCAGTTTCCTGCCAGCTGCGTCCATAATGGACGAGCAAAAAGATGATGAAGGGCAGAACAGCAATCATGATCAACAAAGCATAGGAATCGCACGAGCAGAATGCAATAACAAGCTGCAGAGCGCTGCAAAAACGAGCCAAAACTAGCACGAAATGGTATAAAAAACAGAAAAGGAAATCACGTTGAAAAGGAAAGAAAAAGCCGCATGACATTGGCTATGACAAGACGTCAAAGAGCGAGAAAACATTTGTGTGGACAGGTCATCTTCTCGAGGACATCGCTCGTCCACTTAAGTGAAAATCAATGGTGACCAGACTTTGGCTATTCCTCAAATGTGCATTGATTCTAGCTGTACACGACCAAAATCAAAAAGTTAGGCGGACAAAGAAAGTCAATGTACAAAAAAAAAAGTGAATAAAAAAAAACGAGGTACTTGATCAGCTTTGGAAAATAAGGGGACACAGAAACTGATATGGCAAATGCAAGAAAACTTGTAATCTACGTTAAGCAAACGATAAGATTAAAAAAAATCTTGTGGAAGAAAACTATAGATGGAAAAGAAGATAAGAGATGAGGACAAACCTTCCCTCCAAAAAACTTTGATTGAAAGACCACGATCATACGTATAATCATAATGCTATGAAAGTTTCTCGGCACTTTTAAAATGTGTACTCAAAATGTAGAGTTAGTTGGGACAAAAGAAAAATTCCAACTTTGTAAAACTCCATAAACAGAAACAAAAATTCATAAACGCAGATAGAAGAGACAAACAAAAGGAAAAATTCGAATTTTGTGGAAAATTTACCTATCAAAACGTTGCGTTCCTCCCTATCTTCACTGCTTGAATAATTTGAATGCGAATAGCCTTCCATGTTGTTGGCGGCTGCAAAACGCACGCGACCAAGCGAACTCACCAGCACCATCGACGCCCCCAACGCACTAACGACGCTCTCACGGCCGCGAACAGCTCCTGTGTGTCTCTTTGCAAGGACTCGGCGAAAAAAGAAAACGCAGAAATTATAGGAGAGATGGATGGTGCGACGAATTGGAAAAGTATAAAAAGAAGAAGAATTCGGTCACAGATTTTGTGGTCAACTGACTGCTCTGAAGTTTTTACAGCTGGCTGGGACAACTGATGTTTTGCTTGGCGACTGCGATTGCATTCGATAAAACCGACGCAAAGAGTTCAGAGGTACGAGCACTACATCGTACACCACAATTTCATTCAATTCATTCAATGCGTTTTGAGTTGCAACGACCGGTACTATAGGGTGTTCATAAAATCGTGACAGCAAGTTCGACGCGCCCTTTGCGCCACCCAAACGTCACAAGAGCGTAAAACACCCAGACGAAAGGCGCCACTCTACTGCTGAGCTCAGTCACTTCCAGTAACAAAAGCTATCTAAATATCACATATCGTCTATTCGTTGACTGTACGGACTGGACTTAACCGCGGAGCACGCGCCGCGAGGTAAAACGCTTGCTCACAAACTCGCCATTGTTGAAGTCGTGCTCTCGCAACATTTTAACCGCGCGTGGTCCGTAGCGGTTGAGCAGTCCGTACGCCCAACGAATCGACGATACATGCACAAGAATCATTCGAGTAGCAAAAAACACTAAACTATAGGCGATTCATAGGACGCAAAGACTGCGGACTTGCCGGACTCTCTCTGATCGAGCGCTCTTTTGTTTCTCTTACCATCTGCTGTCTCTTCCATGCACAAACTGTCTTGGCCAAACGCAGCCCCTCAGTCTTTGCGTGTCATGAATCGTGTATACAATTGCAACTGCGTACGCGACGCATGAACCGCCGCCATTGTCACGATTTTATGAATGTCCTATGTATTCCGTCGCCTTCATTCGCTTGGTGTTATACAAGTTTTTCGATCTGCACTACGACCGCCTGATCCCTTTCATCCACTTCGCTATTGATCGAATCAGCATACTGACCAACGGCGAAGTGGATCTCTGATCAAACCAAAAACAAGGAGAAATACCCAGAAATTAACACGTTGCGATCTTAAAATCGTGATGTAGAGCGCATGCGGTGCAATGTGCGACTAAACTAAAGCTACGAACTAGACGATATGTGCACCATGAAAGGTATGTTCATTCACATCATAAGACAGATGGCTGTGGAGCACCAGGAGCTTTTTGTGACACATATTCAGCGAGTACTTTGATCAAAAGTAAAGGATAGAAAAGGAAGACGTCCTACATTCTCGACATAAAACAGAAGAGCGTTCATTCTTCAACCCCGCTTCAAGTCCTAAGTTTCACTCGTCACAAGGAGGAATCTGTGTTCTTCCTTGTTTGTCCATCTTTTGGGGGCCTTACTACCCCAATATTGTAGCCGAATGAATAGCAGCACTTTGCTGTATAAGCCGAGATCTTCGATATTTTGTACGATCCCGAACGGATCCTCAAGGAATCGGGGCTTATTCTGAAATCATTTATCTTTCCAAAAACTCAATGAAAACTTCGTAAATTTATACTGTTGAACTATCATGACAGTGCTGAGCATTTCTGTGGAAGTAATAAGTGAAAACTCAAGTTGATGACCTGCGCTAGCGAGTTGGGGTTCAACGAAAAACTAAAAACTTCCACATTTTATCTGTGCTACTGGAAACAAGCTTAACACTGTCATAATAAGTTTTCAACACAACTTTACGATTATCATTGACTTTTTGCAAAGATAAGTGATTGAAAGTGAGCCGTGATCCCCTGAGGATCCCGTTCAGGATCATACAATATACTGAAAATCTCAGCTCAAAAAGCAAAGTGCTGCTGTTCATATGCTACAATATTAGGGTGGTAAGACCTCAAAAAGAGGGACAAACGAGGAGGAATACAGCTCCCCGGAGCACCGAGCTATAAAGCGGATATCTGATCGGGAACCCTTACCCGGACGGGCGATTGATACATCCCGCCCGTGATGTCAGACTTTGGTAAATTGAGAGTTGGTATCGTTGATTCGTTGACCGCACGGACAGCTCAAAGGTGGCGGACCCGCGCGGTGCGGCTAAAATATTGCGAGAGCACGATTTGTATGATGGTTTCCAGTTCGTGTGGAGGTGTATTGCAGACTTTGCCTGTTAACACAGGGTAAACTTGTTGAACCTCCACGTCATAGCATTGCTTTTCGTACTCTCTCGCTAGCAAAAACTGCAGCGCTGTGAGTTGGCAAGACTCCACCTCGACACGAATCTGGAAGCCGATGATACAATGGTGAATTTGTACTGGGGCATGCGTTTTACCTCGCGGCGCGTGCTCCGTAATGATGTTCAGTCCGTGCGGTCCGGAATGAACTATACTTTCTGGTCATTATCGTGATACTTTTTTCAGAATCACTTTCAAGTTCCCTTTCCACAAAAAAAAGATTACTCCATACAACTCAGCAGATATCAGCAAAAGCAAGATGGGCGGCTAACAAGGTTAATGATGGAGAGAAACAGAGGCTTGTCCAAAAAGATATTTTCTGCTTCGTTTCTTCAAGCACGAAGAGGAATCGATACAAAGAAAATGTGCAGTATTCCCAGAAGGCCAACAGCCGATAGTTTTTTATGACTCAGCAAGGTCAACGCTGTGGGAAAGATAGTTGAATAAGCGAACATCAACACAATGAGCAGAAACAGTCCGAGACAATGCTTCAAATAGAAGCTCAGATAACATGGTAATCGAAAACCTGTCAGTTTTGACAAAAACCTTGATTTTCATTGTTTACCTGGTTCACTGTAAAATGGTACAAGGTTGCAGGTGTACACACGATATCACATGATACTTTCAAATCAAATTTCAAAGGGGGGGGGGCAACAAGAAAACACGAAACTGTTCATTTTTGCTAATGTACAGCATAAAAGGCACTACACCAACGCACTGAGTTTCAGCTTAATAGTAGTATACGATGTAGTGCCTTAGCGGTGACTACAACATTTGCGCGGAAAAACGTGCCACTGCGCGGAACTTTCCAAATTTTACATGGTTATTTTCTAAACGAATTAAACACTATGAACAGTAATCTCAAAGAAGTTCACAATTCAAAAAAATATTAGAAATGGTGACTACTTTGGATTAATTTATTGCTGTTCGAAATTACAAATTCAATTTTAGTAGATAAATTAGTTAAACACTTTTAGAAGAACTAAAAGATGCAGCACTGCATCATGTGACCTTTTCCTTGCGCAGTCGTTAATGGCTATTAAAAAGTAGTATAAATCAAAAGACAATGGGATGCTGTGACGAATAAAAACTGTCGCTTGGGAGCGAATAGGAGGAAGATTTATGGAGGGGGTGCAGGGGTGCATGAGAAAATTCCCGTCAGTTAATGTGCATGGCATATTCGAAAGAGAGGGATATTAATATTCATGTACAGGGAGAAAATTGACTGCAAATTACATTTTCAAATTACATTCTTCATCTGCAGCAGGCAAAAGCTAAATTGCTAATTTATAGACTAAAATTTGAAATACTAGCAATTTAACAAGATAATGTGAATTTTTGACCACATCATTCTGGTCCTTTAAACTTGTATGTGAGGATTGAATTTCAAAAGTTTGTACAGAGTGCGGTGACATAGTGCCCCGTAGATGACTAATGCTCGCAAAATAACCTCGGAACTGGACATAAACAGTCAGTAAAATGATTATGGATAGGATATTCACAGAATAATTGATGAGCAGAGGCCGGGTTACTCTGCACGTCCACCCACACTAAAGGACTGGCTCAGCGCAGTGATTTTCGACGTTGAGTACATGGTACGACCAAACTACCATTGATGAACTATCTCTTTGATTCAGCAAGTGCTGATTTGTGATTTATCAAAATGTGTTGCAGAAAGCAAAGTTTTGCAGCGCAATCTTACTTTTTGAAACAGTTTCAAGTTGAAGTTAAGTTTTGAACTTTCCACTCTTTTCCCACAATACTAGTAACTCATATAGTGAAACTCCAGGCGATAATGAATTTGTGCTTACAGAAAATTAAAATGCTGTGGCAAGAACAGTTCATAGCATAGAGGCTTGATTGTCTTATGATGTGTACGTCAGCAGTTTCTAATAGATTTTGCGGAATGGTCAAGAAGGTCATGGAGTTGAAGCGTTTGATTTTCGAAAGAAGTCACTTTTGTTACAGGGTCCTAAAGGATAGAGATCTGAGACCAAAGTGTCTGCTTTCCATGAGTGAAGAAGAATTGAGCATGATCAAACAATTTTATCAAGCCACTGTCTTGGAATAGTCATTTGCGTCTCATTTGCGCATATGGACACAAGTGGGACATATTTTGGTTCGATGTGTGCATTAAAGTAAAACATGAAGATTTAGCTCTAATAAGTACTACCGCAGGAGACACTAGACTTGTCGAGAATTTTCCTAAAAACCCAGTAATTTCTGCGTAATTGCAATTGCTTATAATCATATAAGCTTTCAAAATCATCATCTTTTGAAATTTTTGAGGTCCTCTGACCGCAATCTGTAGCAAACTGTATGCTACATCTCCTTCGAAGGCAACTGTTGAAGTTCGAATGAAAATATAAATTCTAATGAGAGCAAATCGCTCCCGACGAGGAGGAGCAACCAGCCACGCCTCCGTAGGTGGGCATGACTCCATTCCCGCCCATCCAGCGATTTCCCCTAGATGCGTTTTGACACGACAAGCACAGTTGAGAAGCATGTGTACTGTTTCCCTGTTGCATTTGCGGGACTTCTTGTTGCAAGCGACAAGACTGACGCCCTGAACTCGTCCGCACTCAAGAAAAAAGTCATAAAAAGACTCGACAATATGATCAGACTATGGAAACGAAAAAAATGTCAAAAGAGGAGCCAGCACAAACGTCAACAATTCAAACCTTGAATAAATAAAAGTCAAGACGAAGGCTTTCGTTTGCCTCCCACAGCACGTCATTTCAACAATGAAAGCAGCATTCGATCGTCGCCAAAAACCATCGTGTTAGGGCAAAAAGGACGAAACCATAATCATTTGCACAATATTCCCCGGCTGATTCTTCCTTCCACCCCCACCACGGTGTCGTTCAGACAGATTGTCTGCCGCATAGAATTTGCATGGCTTGGCAGCTGTTTGCTGATGGACGGCCACCCCCACTCTATGAGTGATGCTGGTGGGAGAAATTGCAGAGAACGATGGGTGTTGGTGGTAAAAAGAAAAAGAGGGAGGGAAAAGGAAGAAAGAGTAAGATACGAAAGCATAGAGGGTACAGACATACAGACATACAGACAGACATTCAGCTTTATATATAAGATTTAAGTACGCGTATGTAGAATGAATTGAAGTGATATGGATTTTCGGAAACCTTAATTTTTTATTAATTCCTAACTTTCGAGATTTGATCGAATATGATATCGATTTGAGTTGATTTTTTGGCTTCTGCTCGCAAATTTGTGGCATACTAGAAAGTTTTTGAAGTTTGGAAGTCCAATTTCCGAAGCTTTCAGCACGGAATATAGAATGTTTTTTCAGGGATTTTGATATATTTAGCAGCAGAGAATAAAATTGTGCAAATCAAAGAAAAAAATAATATTATTGAGGAAGTGAAATCGATAGCTAGTCAGATGTAAAGAACACTTGTTATGACGAACCAAGTCATATGTTTGTGCTTTAAAATCGTCGCAGGATTTCTGATAAATGACGACGAAGAGAAACATTAGCAGAATGTGTTTTGAAAAGCGAAAAACAAATTGGAAAAATTCAGCAACAATTAAGAAATTCCATACATAGATGTTTCAGCGGTAAATCAGTTGTGCTGATGAAAATTGATATCCCCACTTACGTTTCATATCCTCACTCATTTGCTCCAATTTTTGTTTTGCCATATCCAAATAATCTATCTCCGGAACGTCTTTGTCGAACAAGTGACCCCTGGATGTCCTTTTCTCAGCGGACACAACTTGATTTCGGATTCCATTGGCTGAAATATTATACTTAAATTAGAAGTCAAACACTACAACCTTGAGGTAGCCTCAGATTTCGATACTAGAAGATTTTAACATGGTACAGTGGTTGATGCGATTAGGTTATTCTCAGCAAAAAGGAAACGGATAATCGTTTCATTAAATGGCTTATTCCCAGCAAAAAGGAAACGGATAACCGTTTCGATAAACTTTGATTTCTTCTTTTAGCCTATTTCCCACACTCCTGGCTGTAATATCTTCTGAAAGAATTCGAAGAAGGCACAAAGTCTTCGGGAAACTTATATGCGCTCAACCTTTAAAACGAACACCTAATCATAAGCTTACAAGTTATTCCATCTGAATTTGCTAAATTATGACAGTCGATACTATCACACTCGCAAAATACCCGAAAACTGCGGAATTCGCAAAGATTTGAGGGATTCGACCACAACTTTTTGTAGAGAGGATACAATTTGAGCTACAAAAAAATTTAGAATCACCTTGATAGAGCGAACTTTCTGATATACAATATGCCCTTAATTTCCGGAGGGGGGAGGGGAGGATACGATATACGGTAAGCATATGTGTGGTTATCCTCTGTGATGTAGTGACGGTCCGAAACGGTTGGGCAGGGGGGGGGGAGAGGGGAGAAGGAGGAGAAGTTTTTGGATGAAGGAGAGTGGTTGAAGCCAAAAAATATTTGGGATGCTTCCTAGCTTTTCAGTTGGTCCGTATCCCGACCGAAAAGAGAGCAGCCATAATGTGGATTTTCTAAGAATTTAAAAAATATTTCAATCAGCTACAAGCAAAAACAAATCATTTGTACGATTTTATTATAATACTAGCTGGCTTACCCGGCTCCGCCGTATCCGGACCAAACTTGGCACACATACACTTCGGGCCCCGGCGGGAGTCACAGTCCACTTTTCGTTATCGATCGATGTCGATTTTACCGATTTTTATCGATTTTTTGCAGAGTTCACCTACAGGGCTAGGAGTTGGCACAGGGGGGAAGTGAGCATGGGGATTCCGAATACAATATTAGTTTTCAGAATTATCGATTGCTTTTATTGATTTTATCGATTTTTTGGCAGAGTTCACCTACAGGGTAGGAGTTGGCACAGGGGGGAAGTGAGCATGGGGATTCCGAATACAATATTAGTTTTCAGGATCGTCCATTACTTTTATCGATTTTATCGATTTTTTTGCAAAGTTTGCAAAAAAATCGAGCATGCTGATCATCCCCCTTGGGGATGATCAGCATGCTCGATTACCCCCCTGTGCCAACTCCCAGCCCCCTAGCTCAAACTTTGCAAAAAAATCGATAAAATCGATAAAAGTAATCGATAATCCTGAAAACCAATATTGTATTCGGAATCCCCATGCTCGATTACCCCCCTGTGCGAACTCCCAGCCCCGTAGCTCAAACTTTGCAAAAAAATCGATAAAATCGATAAAAGTAATCGATAATCCTGAAAACCAATATTGTATTCGGAATCCCCATGCTCGATTACCCCCCTGTGCGAACTCCCAGCCCCGTAGCTCAAACTTTGCAAAAAAATCGATAAAATCGATAAAAGTAATCGATAATCCTGAAAACCAATATTGTATTCGGAATCCCCATGCTCGATTACCCCCCTGTGCCAACTCCCAGCCCCGTAGGTGAACTCAGCAAAAAAATCGATAAAAATCGATAAAATCGATATCGATCGATGACGAAAAGTAGCCTATGACACCCGCCGGGGCCCGTAGTGTATGTGTGCCAAGTTTGGTCCGGATCGGTTCAGAAATGGAATTTTCTATTCGGAACATACGTACACACAGACAGACAGACATACAGACAGACAGACATACATACAAACAGACATTCAGCTTTATATATAAGATATACTAGCAGATTTCAAATATACCTTTCTCCACGAAAACTACAACTAGATCTCCATATCCCGCGAATCCCGCGAGAATGCGTATTTCCCTTCTCACAACTGCACCACATGTGGGGTTTAAAATTGCTTGAACGGTTCGTAAACCGCACTAGCAGTCATTTTCTTTCATATTTAATATATAAAATGTTAACATCTTGCTATTCACCTTGAAACATAGAACATACTAGCTCATAGACAACTGTTACCAAGCGGAAGATATAAGTTATCATTTGAGCGATGGTTTATGTATAGAAAGATCCATTAGCATTCACTTAACAAACAGTTTCATCGTCACTTTACACTTTGACGGCTTGACATTCTTACAAAAAATTGCCACAGCCACAGAATCTCTTATCTTGATCCACAAAGTGAAAGCCTTCAATATTTGACTTTTACATACCGAATAGACTGTGAATAGAATGTGTTGATATTTTTCTACGAGGTGATGGAAAAGAAGGCGATCTGTGCGGTTGAAAAGCAGGCATTTTGCCATCGTTTGAAGTCTCGTTTACTTATTATTTACAGAACAGCTGTTACTGTTTTGCAAGCGAAGACGAAGTCGATGTTCCTGGATCAGCTGGCGCAATGCGAGGAAAACTGATACTTAGAAGATATGCTTTAAAAATGAGTTTAACTAAAGAGAGGGGAAGATTTTGTGTCCTGAATGAGATATTAGGTTGCCGCATAATTCTTACATTAAAATTTGAAATCCTGTTATTTCCTCCAGTTTCAATGAAATTTTTTGATTTGATATCTAAAGGAGAGAGAAAATCTTGAGCTTTGCGATTGTACTCGAGCTAAAATCTATTGAAAAGGTTTGACAAAGATAGAAGTTGATTAAGAATTACCCAAAAGATTTCTCGTTAGTCACTAAAATTGCTAAAATCTCCACCAAAATTTGAATTTATTTTTGGTCGTGCTTTTATGAAACACTTTTTGAATGAAAGAAGTTACTAGTAGTGATTGGATGCGCCTGCGAATAGTTACGTATCGATTTTTTATGTTTTATTGATTTTCCTTTATATTGATTTATTAGAAACTACTATAAAAATAGCACTTTTGGTATAAATAACAAAGTTGTTTTGCAAATTGATTAGTTTTTTCAAGCATTTTGAAACAATTTTTTCAACTTTTTGTGCAAGAATGCTGCATCAACTAATATTCCTGTGGTTAGTCCACATCTAATAGAGTGATTAGTGGTATTCATTCATGAAACTAAGCTAAACCGAATCTCTGTATGTTCCCTATGGCTAAGGATGGCTCCAAAGTTTTCCGCCAAGGAATCCTCAAGCTTGTTCGCTCATGATGTAATCTTGCAGAGGGTGAATTTGATTATAGTCTCATGAACCTATGAGCTGCGTTTAAATTCCCCGTGCCAGCGCCGTGTCAGCGTCATGACGTGACGCCAACCGATCAATAGCGTATGCATTTACGGGAGTTCCTGCAGGGCATGCTGGCACAGCGCCGACACATAGCGACTATAAACTGCCTAGGGAAGCGATAAGTAGAAATTGTTTCACAAATAGATCTAAAATCAGAGAAATTACTAAGCTTTGCGACGTCAACAATTCTATAATTCATTATTTCGTATTCGCGTGAACACTATTTGATAGAAAGAGGATAAATACAAAGAGATCTTTACGATCAAAAATTTGTTATTTACCTTTCTAATACCTCAGTGCTGCGCTCTGAACGGCAAGTCCCAGCGCCCTGTTAGCGCTATGCTAGTCTTGCCGGAGCCCACCACGTGCCGCACGTATTGATCGACCGACATTGGAACGGCGCTGGCACGGCGCTGATGCAGAATGGTACACCGAACTGCGCGGACGCTGCCTCAGACCGTTCCTTATGTTGTTGTACTTACTGTTCGTTTTTGAATTACTTTGTTAGTTTCGTTTTCGCACACACTTTATTGGTCCCTGCATGTACGGTTACCCTATTAGTAGTGATTTCATACCATAGATAGATGTGGTCAGGCTATTAATCTCTTAGAGGAGGAACCTAATCACTGAGGCTGATTCTGCCGACGTTTTGAGATAGAAAAGGGATGAAAAGAAGTGCATTTAATAGCAATAAAATATGACTTACCAGTTCTAGGTTTAAAGTGGGGTTCCACAATATAGCGTCCAATAGTAGTAATATGGTCAGAGTTGGTATCGTTCGCATCTTTACCTATAACATATTATTTTAAACTATTTGTAGGCTCTCTCAGGCTTTTCGAAGATTTAACCAAACATGGTAAACGAAGAATTTGCCAAGAAATGCCAACAAATATCTTATTACTTTCTAAGAACTTCGAAGATAAAAAACAACATTATGCTATTTGAATATGTTTGTGAGAACTACACTCTATGTCAATCGCGACTCCTTTATAAGTGGGAAGCATCCGCAACGCGCGCTGATTTGATTCAGAGCGCGAAACGTGCAAAGCTCTAACGTGGCGAATGCGCAAAAGGAGTTCAAAATTGACACAGGCTCTTTCATTTGGATCAAGCAATATGTATGAAAGCGGAAGCAAAACAAAAACCGTATTGATGAAAACGTATGAAGACGGAATATACATCCTAACTATCCCAGTATTTTTTGTCATTTACTCTCAAATTTCTCTAAGAAAATTAACTCACGTCGTTTCATCGTCTCCCTAGGCGTAAAATAACCATCAACGCTCAAATATGAATTTCTGTGCTCCAGTCGGTCTTTCACAATACCAGAGTCGCTTTTGTCGCTTCCAGAGGATTGCCTAGATGAGCGAAATTTTCGAAGCGATTTGAAGAGTCGAGTCATTGTCAAATGATGGAAAGATCATGTTTGCGCGTAGGTTTATGATTGATAGGTTTTTGTAAGATTATAATGTCTATGATGACAAGTACATGTGATAAGATGGCACAAGTTTGTTGACGCGGGGTCTCAACCCGGTTCGCTGCTCTAAAAAACCAAAATAACCTACGTTGGCTCGGATATATTCGGAAATATGATTTTTTCCTCCCTAGTTGGCGACGACAGGTGCGGTGTACTCGATGATAACTTCATGTCTAAAAAAGGTTTTTTATTCTCTCGTGATAATTTTGTTTGTTATGCGCATGTGATCAAACGCTAATACTGAACGAGATTACGACAGTCAGTATTATTTGTTTTGTTTTCAAAAGATCTGAAGATAGTCCAAAAATAAAAAAAGTTGAGATACAATGATAATGCTACTCCTTTGATCCGGGTAAATTGGACATTTTGTTGATTAAGCACTAGATGCTAACGACGAGGTAATAGCTAATTTTGCTAAATTTCGAGAAATCTCTCAGAAATTCAAATATATTCATTAGGAAGCGAAGCTTTTGTATTTCCTAAATTTTCAGAACAAATTCTAGAGTATGTGCAAATTTCTCTTCGAGTTTCTTATTTTTAAAACTTTCAAATTTTGATTTTTTTCTTGAATTCTGAATATTTGGCAAAATCGCAAAAATGTCCATAAAAGGCCGTAAAAGGATGATGACGCGATGCCTTGGATAAAAGAGTTGAAGTCAAGTCTTTCCTCCTTCTCTGACTCAAATTTGTTGAGCCACTAAAAATCCAAAGTCATTTCATCCAACTTTTGTGTCCCCTACTGAGCGTGTCGTTCGCATGCATTCAACAAAATGTTAATCTGAATAACGGCATTTTAGTGATGAAAATCTGATCTTTCGACACTTGGAAAATTGTCTGAAATTCTTCTAGCAAACGTCTGATGAGTCGTGTCATTCGAATATGGATAAGCCCAGATACGGATTCAACTTGGCGAGAAGGTTCCGAAAACGGTTTTAACCGATAATATTCTAGACAAGCTTGTGATGAGCCGTGTCATTCCGACCGAATGCACGAAACCACTAGGCAGGCAACAAATTTTACAAAAGTAAATTTCTGACAAAGTTTTTCTTCCCCTATGAGCATTGACTGGGACAAACAGCAAGTCTTCGGGTAGTCGAAAGCACTGCAAGATGACACCAAGCAAAGGCATGATCAATGATCTAAATGGACATAGAAACCAAAATTTGTATGATCCTGCCCCAACCCAAATCTCCACCTTCCCTAGACGCTTCCAGTTCATAGTGAACACTCGATGCACATGCATATAGGCACACCTGTATGAGATTTTTGCTTGATATAAGAGAGGTGGTTCAAAAGTGGCAAACTCCGCCCCCAGCGCGATTTCTCCCTGCCCGTATGTTACATATTGTTTGATTCAACTGGCTTGGCGGCTGGAAGGCGGGGCTTCATGACCTAATTGAATGTAGGTAATGATCAGAGAGCATGAGCGGGAGAGAAGCAGATTGCGTCGCGGGCGCGAGCTGCTTCAGTTAGGTCACAAAGCCCTACCTCCCCAAAGCCAAGCCAGTTGGGTCAAAGGTTACCTACGCAAGTACGTGTGCATATACTGTACATGCAATACATTAACTAGCACTTCCAGCGTGAAGTTTCGAGAACTCTCTAACTGATTGATATGAGGCCATATATTCTCAGTAAGAAGCGTGGGAAAAATATAGGAAAAAAATGACTTCTTTCGGAAGGATGTTGCAGGAAATTGATGCCCTACATGGAAGTAAATCTTGCCTTTATCACGAAGGAACCTCTAGGAGCAAAGAGGTTAGTAGACTTTTGAGAGTGCACATGATTATCACTTGTACATTGGGACCAAGATACCAACTGTTTAAGTTTGCGGGAAGAGAGATAGCGGTTGAGTGTCCGAAGTAGTTTTTTCCGGTAAACAATGTGATTGCTTGAGAAAATAGTGATTTGTAAACTTTGAGCGATGACTGTTTACAAATGTTCAAAAAATTTTAATAACTTTGGCAAATAGTGCATAGCTTGACCTATTCTTAGCAGTATGACGTTCTTTGAAGTTCATGGTGTTAATCACCGCGTTCAAAAAATGGTCGGCCACTGAACAAACTAAAATTCTGAATTTATTAAGACTCTGCTGAGTGACGATAGGAAACCACCAACGCAATTTTCTCGTGAATAGATTTTTCCGACTTTAGATCCTCATCTATTCCGATTTGATGTCGTATCAAAAATAAAGCGCGTCTCAAATAATGCAATTTTTTTAAGTCATGAGCAAGCGATGGTTTAGGCATCTCCCATGCCCCGAATGATTCGCCCCGCGGGGGTCGCAAAACTTTGGAAAGTTACTTGCATGAGTCATAAAAATTGTGCAAGTAAATTGCTTATATATGTAAATGATCAAAATAACTTTTGGAATATTTTAAAAGTTCATATCAGCCTCGTAAAAGAATTTTTTTTCGCGCTGCGCCTAACATCGCGCTAGGTATGATCCAGGCCTTAAAGGCAGCGTAGACTCAAAATCTAAGTTAGCGAATTTCCTAGATCTTTCTATACCGTGTATATACTGGGCCCAGAAAAAGACCAACTGCGTTGGTCCGGTCTCCCAATGTTGCTTCTGAGCGCAGAAAACCCCCCTCAATTTTCTTTCACTCCGCCCCTTTTCGTTCACTCCGCCTCCTCCGGACGAATCCATGACAGCGTAAGCTTTAGTTGCCGCAGCAGTTGCTGTTGCAATGATGTTGCATCTGCAACTGCAGTTGCAACAATGCAGTTGCCTTTTGCAGTGCGCCTCCTTCGGGCGACGAGCCACGACAGCATATGCAGCAGTTGCAGTTGCAACTGCAGGCTGTCATGCTGTTGCAGCTGCTGGCATGCCAACGGGGATGAACAGTTCGAAACTCGTCCGCCCCTGAACAGAGGGTCCCCGGAAATCGGTTTTTTTTTTGAGACTTTTGGAGGATTTCAATGACATAACTCTAATCAGCGGCACGGAAAGGCCCCAGAATGACAAAAACATCGAAAGGTGAAATTTTGGGTATACGCTGCCTTCAAGGGCCGGGCATACTTCGCGCGATTTCAGTCGCAACGCGATTTGGCACTTCGCCAGAACTCTTCAGTTCCAACTCTGCCAAACTGCATGCATAGTGTGTATAACGTGGATTAATAAAATGCCCTATCTTCTGTGCACTTAAAATGTGCTTACAGTGAGCTATGCACAGTTGGAATATTGCCAAATCGCGTCGCGACTGAAATCGCGTGAAGTATGCCCAGCCCTTTACCCGCGATTTTTCGATCGCTGTGATTAATCAAAAACCCTTTAGACGGAAGCAAATCTTGAAAATATTTCGACTTTTCAAATTTTTTTGTATCATCGGCTTCCCGTAAAGCAACATCCAGTCTTGTAAAATCATTTTAAATCAAGTCATGGTTGACTCAAAAAAATCCCAACCGTTTCAATGAGGTTAATGAGCTGAAAAATCATTATTTCCAACTGGCTTACGAAGCTATAGCCGAATGCGTCGAGGTTGTAAAATAACGAAAATTTATAAAAGAGACACAATTTTTAACACAACATTGTACAGATCACATAGAGAGTAGACCTTGTGTAAAAAAAGCTATGCTTTTGTACTTTCGCCATTCTCCGCCTTTCAGCTAACCCTATGAATGCACTTCGAAAGCAAGGTCAACATGATGAAGAATTTACATTTGTAGACAGCTCACGTCACCGAGCAGAGTAACTGCAAAAGAAGTACTGTCGGAGTTTTTGCTAGCAATGCCATCATTTCACGTGAATGAGCTGCTAAGGTAGGGGCATTCATTCATAGTGAAGAGTACCAACTCCTTCGAGTTAGGGCTCACTGTTGGAAATGCTCAAAAATTTTACTAGTAGCAATGCCTCCTACCCCCCCCCCCCCCCCCCCCAAAAAAAGGATGTCTCATAGCCTTTGACACAAATAAGCTATAAGACTATGCAAGAGTTCTTTCTACGCAGAATTCAACAAACTATAAATTTTATATAAACTGGAAAAATGCGGGAATTTTTTAGTGATAAGTCGGGGAATTGTCAACTAAAACAATTGACGACGAAATGAACGAAATGTCGTAGTATAATTGGAAACCCACTCCTATTGTTAGATGCAGGTTAAAATGAAGTTCTTATACTAAAGGTTCGCCAAAATGAAGAAGAAAAGTCGACAGAAGCCTTTGAAAACGAATTTCCCATAGTTTGTTTTCCTCAGAACCAAGGTTAGGACGGGGCCAGATTAGGGACATGTTATATCCTTTGATTTTTGGCATGCTTGTGGACCCAGTGTGTAGAAATTTTTTCAGCTCCAAGAGCAAAATATTGGTCGGAAAAAACGCGGAACGGAACAGTATACTAGACTGGTAGAACAGTAATCAGCAGAATATATAATGATGCTTAGTCCGATTACATTTCGGCACCAAAAACCAAAAAACACGGTTGAAAACTTGAGCACGAATTACTAGCGCCAACAGCCTTTCATTGTACATATCAGCAATCTCAAAAATTACAACATTCTTGACTTATTTTTCGATGTTAAGCAAAGAGTCCAGGTTACTGTTTTGGGCATCTGCCAAACATTTGGTATGATGTCATAATCACATGCACAAACAAAACGTTTAGTATAAATAGCTTCAAATCAAGACCCGATGAGCCTACTTTGGCATAAAAGAGTGGCGCATGATTACCGGAAAATTTTGTCCATCTAGGCCGTTTGTAAATCTAGGAGAAAATTTTTAAGAAAACAAGAAAAAAATTTTTTCATTATAGAAGAAACACCCTGAATCAATCACCCGTACTTGAGCAAAAATGCAATTTCAGCAGTAGAGCAAAGGCGAAGAACAAAGTGAGAACAGAGTTTGCCGGAAGAATGGGGATGAATTTTAATGCAAAAAAAACTAACACCTATAGAAAAAGGGCACTTCGAGTTAATGTTGACATATGGGATCAGAGAAAGACGACCGTCCTCTTTCGTTGAGTGCACTAGACTTTCTTTCATGAAAATGTACTTAGGTGCTCTAACAACAATTTCTCACTGATACTCTTACCTTGGTTTTCATATTTTTTGAAAAATAATGCAAAAGTATGCTAGAAAAAAGCATTGTGCCATCAATTCATGAGATTATTGAGCTATCAAGATGATTGATATGAAATTATTTTACATTCAGTCATCATTGCGTCAAAGTTGCACTTTCA